TAAAAAAAAAAAAAAAAAAAAAGGCAGCAGTCTTGAATTAAAAAGATTTGAAGCAGCAGCTAACAAGCTCCAAAGTCTTTTTGGCTCCAGAAACGGCTGTGGCAGGCATTTGGAAAAATTATTTTATGGTTACAACAATCAAAATCCAAGATGTCAGGCAAAGTCAGTGGCATTTTAACTTCTAAAAGAATTATTAAAAAAAAAAATAAAAATCTATTCATGTCATAGCTAAGCCCTGAACAGCTAGGGAAAAAAGTATCTGAAATTTGAAATAGATACTATTTCTAACAAAAAGTATTATAACAGCAACAAAAACCCTTACACTTTCCATAGAGGACTAAGCAGGCTCATTGTCTACAAGGAAACAAACCCTTCTGCAACAAGGTAACTGCTGTCGGTAAAACAATGAAAGGAAAGTATAAAAAAAAAACCAAAACAAAAAAAAAAAAAACAAAACAAACACAAAAACACCACACACCAAAAAATTTAAGAAAAAGATAAATCAATTTTGAAAACAGCTACTTTTATAGTAAAATCTTGCCTGTTTTGATCATGATTGTACACAGACCTGGATCCTCCTTACCTGTCAATCAAGGAGTCCCTCATGTTGGTAGCAATGGTACTTGGCTGAGCTTCGTTCAGCCTGAAGATGCTCTCGATGACAGAGAGCTCAGTGCTGGTTGTGTCCAGCCCGCAGAAGGCACACCAGTCATTCACAACCATTCCTGCTGCAATCACCTCGCTGCCACGATTCACTGTTCCAGCCTAGCAAAAACAAAGCGGTAAGAGTAAACAGGGCATGCTGACAGCAACACATTTTGTCACGCATCCTTACTTCAAGTCTTTAGTGGAGGCCCTCAACTCAACACTCCTGAAAGGATTAAAGCTTCTGCCATAAACAAAGGTATAAAGACTTCAGATGAAAAGATGAAAAGGACAGACTTCAATCTCTGGAGACAATACTGTGTGACACCCAGTGAAATAAAATCTAACAAGTAGGAAGTATGAAGGCACAGCAATTGTGAAATTCATAAAGCCAATCAGGCAGGCACAGGATTTTATTACTTAGTTTTTTTAAACACTGCCTTTGGCCAAATGACAGACAATTCATATTTTGTAGAAATCAATCAGTACAACTTGTGTAGTTGCAGCAGCGCAGTGTTTTAGAATTGAACTAAAGGTGCTAAGCAGCTTATTCAGACTCAGAAAAGACAGGGAAAGTGTCTCATAGGACTTGCCCCGTTCAAGGCTTCTCCTCATCTCCCACTTGGAACAGCTCTGCAGAAAAAACAGTATCTAGGAGCCCAGGAGATGCAGAAACATTAAAACTGAGAACTGGGTTGGAAAGGAGCAGCAAGAGAAAACAGAAGCCCACAAATGCCTTACCACGAGTGGGACCTGAAGCAACGAAGACAGTTCATCCTGATCATCAATTGAAGTTTTGGGGTGCACAATTCCTCCCTGATTACTAAAAACACAGTAACTTCCTACCAGCACCTGATCTGCTACCGTTTGTCTGAAAACCTCAACCTTCAGTACATCTGCCAGGATCTCTTCCGTCTCCTGTAAACAGAATGAGAGAATAAAGTCCTCAGCAAAATGGTATTGTAGAATTTGAAGTCAAGCACACAACCATCAGCTGGGATCTTCCCCTTTGAAAGCCTGCCCACACTTTGACAATCCAGTGCAATCCAATCACCATAAAACACTTACTCAGCCTCTGGACTCCAGATGTTCCCAGTACCTGTGCATACTGAGCTGGGCACTCTAACTGAACACCCCACCAGGCCTTTCCTGAGAAATGTTCTTCCTCCCTCCCGCGAGGATGCTGTGTCAGTGCCAGCTCCCTGGCACTCCCTGGGAACCCATCCACCATGACAAAACTGCCTTATCCTCTGTAGAACTCCACAAACTTCATTCCCCACATTTCCACTGTGAATTATTTTGATTTCGCCCTCTCTGTCCATCTTACCTTACTTCTTACACTTATGCAAAGTATAATATGCTGCAAAGACCACTACCTTCCCCCATATCCCCCCCCCCTTCTTTATTTTATTTGCACACCAAGTCCAATTTCTTCATCACCTTTAGCACAAACCAAAAGCAAACACTGTAAGGACCCTCACTGCCTGTAGCCACACAACACACCTCTCTCCAGTATTAAGATATCAGTTCTCAAACACAAAGTAGCAGAAGCTCTGCCCTTATTTTACTTTCATACAAGAATCATCTTTCTTTCACCCCTCTGTAAACATGCACACCACCACCACATCCACAGCCTCTTTCAACTATTACAATTCCGCTAGCTCAGCAGTAGCTTGTAACTATTACTGTAGTCCTGACTAAACTCTTCTTTACGATCTCTTTATTACACACATGCACACTCTCTTTAATTCATTCAATTTACATACACAAAGCAAATTGCACCCAACAATATACTTCTGTATTCCACTCCTTCCCTTCTACAAGAGCATTCACTACAGCATGCTGAACAAGAGGGCTCACGCTGTACTTGGGGCAGGGTCCACATTCACAAATAAAGATAAACACAGAAAAAGAGGAAGATCAACTGAAACCAAGTTAGAAGTCCAAACTCCAATTCTGAGACTTCTCTTTCAGAAGAAAGGAAACATGAGGCAGCACAGCCTCCTACATGTTAGCTCAGCTGTTAGCATAGGTCTTCTGATCCCCACACTACATACAGCAACCCTCAACAACTACAAACCCAAAATGCAGCTTGGCAATCATTTCACATGCATCACTGAGAATTTAGAAGTATTACAGAGCCATGTACCCTGTCAAGATCTGGATGAACAAGAGCTACATAGTCATTGCAGGTCGTGACATTGCCCAGCGCTGAGAGACGCTCTTCTACTCGCTGAATTCGTACAGAATCTGGAAGACTATTGCGGATATGTTGAAGCTCCTGGTCTGTTGTACTGCTTGGGACCAACAATCCATGTCTGTTTCCTAAAATGACATTAAAAAAAAGATTTTTAAAAAATGCTTCCACAGGGTTTCCTACTTTCCTGATGTTCATATAATAGCTTGATTGCCCTATCCACTCCGCCCAAGGTCAGAATTCAGCCCAGGAAAAAGAACGTTATGATTTAAAAATAACACAACACCACAGGCAAGGGAAAACCAGGATGGCACACACTTAGAGCAGAAATGGGTGAATGGCACTATACTTAATCTCTTTTTCAACAAAACTAAAGGAAGCCCAAGGTTCTTGGTGAAATACTTTGACTAGGAGTTTCCCCTACAGATTCCAATTACCCCACAAAACACATAGATGCTTGTTTGTATTATTTTATTGTGGTGAAGCTGTAAGATGGGATGGACAAAGACTTTATTTGCACAAAAAAAAAGCTCAAGGAAGAAGTTTGTCAGCCTGAATAGGGTCTCACTAGCCAGGGTCAGGTGAAAGACTTTTCTTTGACTTTCACATTTGTTAATGCCTCCCCCTCCCCGGGCTCTGCCCTCCACTGAACCATTAACCTTAAGAAAAACAGAATTTCTCAGTGTACCAGAAATCCAACTTATACGTGTCTTTAGCCCATCTTCAAACCCCGAGAGGCAAACAAACACTCCCCACTACTCCAGCTTTTTCTTACTGAGTAAGGTTTAGTTTTTCCGTTTTCGTTCCTCCTTTTCACACACTTGAAGCGTTGAAACAAAAACTCTGAAGATGAAGGGTGCTGCCCGTTGGACTCCCCGCCACGGGATGTCGCAGTGTGCACCAACCCAACACGGGACGGTGTTCCCGTTTCCACCGGAGCCCCCCCGGGCTCCCCTCACCCCGAGGGCCCGGCGGGACTCGCGCTCCGGGGGCGAAGGGCCGCCCCGACACGTACCCACACACATCCTGCCGATGATGCGGCAGCCGGCGATGGAGGCGTGCACCACCGGGATGGTCCCGAAGAGCTCCCCCTCGAAGACGCTGCAAGGAGAAAGCGCCGTCAGGGTACTGCGGCGGGGCTCGCCGCGGCGGC